TGTTAAGCATATTTCTATTTAATTAAAGCTTTTCTATAACGATAATGAACACTATTACATCAATTAAATGGAAATTAACAACTTTCAAAAGATATCTCCTTATTGCTGATCATTACATTATTTATCATGTTTATAAATTATAAAAGTTAAAGTTTTAATAGCACTAGTTTCTTTTTTTTAAATACATAAAATAAAACTGAACTTATTATCACTATCAATCTTAATTTTTCATTATTACATAATTTATATTTGTAATATTCTAATTTCATAATAAACTCAATTGTAGAAAATATTAAAGTTAGAGAATTAAATTTTACATAAAAGTGCAGTATAAGTATAAAAAGTACAGTCGACCCCCGTATAAGATCATTGATTATTCCGTTTTATATGAATTCCATGTTGTACGAGTCACTTAGATTTTACAAATACCTGTGCCGGGCTGTGAACGGCTCACGTATTTGTAAAATTTAAGTGACTTGTACAACATGGAATTCATATAAAACAGAATTATCAATGATCTTATACAGGGGTCGACTGTACTGCATTTTAAAAAGTGTTACTTTATCTAATTTTAGTTATAAATTTTTATTTGAGATTAAAATTACTATTTTTAAACTTTAAAAATGATAAACATTTTTTATAGTTTATTTTTTTTGTATCATACTATCAAATCAATACACTAAAAGTTTTTATGTAATGATAAAGAAATATATTATAATGAAAAAGATATAAATTAATATGGAAAAAGTTTTTTGAAACAAATAAGAAAAAATATATCATCTTAATGAAAATAAAATTTTTACACTCAGTTTTATGTTTAAAATTTAGAAATTTTCCTGAATATATTAATTATTAAAGAACAGTAACAGCAAAATGCAGAAATAATCGAATGTATTCTTAAATTTTTCTTTATGTCTAAAGTCATAACTTAAAAAATTATTTAAATTTTTATTGGGCTGCTATTTGAAAAAATTGTAGACATATAAATTCCCATTGTTGTCCATCTGTTGTCTTTCCTTAATCTCAAGAATGGAATTAGATAGATGTAATTCAAGAACAGATATGGAAACATTAAGGGCAGAAGGTCCCAATTAACTATATATAAACTTCTGATGCAAACAGGAAGTCGTATTATTTCAATTTAAAACTTTTCTCTGAAAGCAGTTAATAGATGACCTGCACGACTCTATTGTTAAAGAAAAGTATTATGTATAGGGGCAGCCACTACTAATTTGAGATGGAAAGAATATATTTTAAATGAAATATATTAAAAATTGCAGCTTGGCATTGTGACAATGTCACAATAAATAACTGTTCATAGAGGTATAAAAAAGACACCTTTCAAAAATTACTTCTTGTTTAATAATGTAAATATATAGTTATTGCTAAATAAAAATAAATTGTTAAATAATCTGAAAGGTTAAAGCAATAATAGTAAATATTACTATATTTGTAAAGTACTTTATTGATTTTTAATAAAATAAACTCATATCCTCTTATTTACAATAAAAATAAATAAATTAGCTTGCTAATCAATAATGAAAATACATTTATTAATTTTATTGATTTCATTATAATATTAAAATACAGTATTTTTATGCATATTGTATAGTGTCAGGGCTGTCAAGAACTTGTATGGAGTCTGTGGATAAAATGGGCCCTTTTGGCCTTTTATTTTTGAACAAATTAAATATGCAGAATGTTTCTTTATTAATAAAAAGCAGTCTTAAAAATTTTATTTTCTGTTAATAAAAGTAACATTAATTTTATAGGGATAGGAATCCTTACAGGTCCTTAAGCTTCTCCAGACCAAGGGAAAATTCTCTAGCTCCCTTTTTTTTAATGGCTCTGAATAAAGTATATTATTTTAATAATTTTTAAATAACTTAAAAAGTAAATGATCCTTAAAAATAAAATTCACATAACTTCCATTAATATTTTCTACTTCAAATTATTCATTTAACTGATAATCAGATGAATAATGACTCCTGACATCAATTTACTTTTAAAATTCAATCATTAACTACAGCTACATGACACTGTTTTCTATTGTTTTCTGATTAAAGCATTTATCAAATCTAAAATCAATATTTAAATATATTCGAATATCGATTATTATATTTATAAAAAATTTAACTATATATTTAAAAAATAAAAAATATATTAATGGAAAATTGATATGCCATTACTGAATCAATAACTTTATCATTGCAACAAAAATAAAATAATCTCTTAATATCTTTCAGCATATCTTAAAGCAAGATGGATTAAGTTTGAAACATAATTCATTTTTCTACTTAACTGCTTCATTTTGCTACAAGAACAATGTTTAATCCCATATAACTAATAGGTTTTTCATGTTAACCATTAAAACATGTTTTACATTATTATTGAAAAAATAAAATTATAAACAGTTGTTTCATTTTGCTATAAGAAACAATATTTATTAATGTATAGCTAAAAAGCTTTTGCATGTTAATCATTAAAATATCTAAGTTAACTAATGTAGAAAAATTTAAATCATGATTAGATATAATATTTGTACGTGAAAATGATTTAAAAACAAAAATTTAAAAGTTTCTTTTATGTTAAGACATTTTTCTTTAAAGGATCTATTTAAAGACAATTTTTTTATTAAAAAAGTTTTTTATGACTACATTTACTATTTTATAATACAAAAATTAAATATTTATAATTACTAAGAATGTAAAAATCTAAATTATTGAAACATTTTTGAAAATTTTAGTTATTTTAAATGACTTTAAAATATTCAGTTACAGTTTTATCAAATGTCATTCAATTTAAATGCTTTACAAAGAAATTTATAAACTTCTGCATTTAAAATTTTTATTTATCAATATCCTGTTTATTTTAATTAACCTAAATATAATCATTGATTTTTTTGTTTTTTTAATATTTATATATTAGAGAGAGAATGATAATTNCAAAATGCTTTTATATTAGTAAATAAAATTTGAACCAGAATAGTTTTTTGGCAATTTTCCTCTTTAAAAGAAAAAAATAAGTGGATTATCTTTTAAAAATCCATAAAACTGTAATTTTTTTATGGCAGAGAACAATTTAAAAGGTCACTCCAAAAACTTAAATTGTACTTAACCAATATAGTTTGTTTAGTACATGTACAAAAAGTACACACTGAAACTGAGCAAGTTAATACAATTTCCTTAGTTTCATTCATGTTCTTAAATAAATAAACAGTAAGCAAAGCTTTCCCAAAATACATTAGTCAACTTGGAAGTAGTTCCTTTTTTATATTAGAAATTATATAAATTGCACTTATAAAATATTAAATAAATGATCAAAAACATCCCAGAACTTCCTAACTTTGATCATTTAGTTTGAAACTTTTAAAAGCAAAACTTGGTATTTCTAAAATTAATAACTATAATCTTAAAAAATAATAAAACTTACTATTATCAAAAAAATGTTTTAATTTTCTTTGTAGCATTACGGTAATTCAGAAAAAAAAAACTAAGAGCTGGATTTTAAAAAATTAATCCTTTTAAATCTTTACAAATTAAAGTTAAATTAAATTTTACAATTAATAAGTTTATTAAATACTAATTCTTAAAAGTTTTAATCAAATGTTAATTTTTAACTGTTTAAATTTTCTATTTGGTGCTTTTTAAGATTTATCTTATTCAGATAACATTCGTATATAGACCAGTGGTTCTCAAACATGCACCAAGGCATACTAGTACATTGCAAGAAAGCTAAATGTGTCACAAATATTATGAAAGTATATTTTAAAAGTGAAAAGAAATTTGTACCAAGAATTATTACATTCATGATCAACTAATAGCTATGCTAGACCTATAGGGTAACAGTTATGATACACAGCTATATCCATATATTTTGTATCAACTGGATATATAGATTACAACAAAAAAAAACACACCTTTAAAAATCCAGCAATGAAATTTTATCTTAACTGAAGATGATCAGTTAAACTGATCGAAAATGTTATTATTTAGTAAATTTCATTGCTGGATTTTTAAAAGTGTTTTTTTTTGCTGTAATGCACAGCTGTACATAATTTAAACCAGTGTTTTTCAACACCAGTCCAAAAAAAAAATCTCACCAGTTCATGGAAAAATATTTGACCATAACAAAGCTGGAAGAGTCGATTACAAGTGACATTTAAATGGTAAATCTACAGTTATTGTACATACTTTGTTATGAACAGTAACTCTACTAGAAAAGCATATATAAGCTTAATAAATAAACATAATTCATAGTCTAAATACTAAATAATTGTTCCAGCTTTAGAATTAACAAGTATAATTCATAGTCACACATAATTACTCAGTCCATACCCGTCCGTGACAAAGAAAAGATCGAAAAACACCAATTTAAAGAATTGTTCATACACGACAAGCACCAGAGAAATTTTACCCATTTTGCATAGTGCGACACAAACTAAAAAAGCTCGAAAACTGCCGATACAGTCAACAAAAGTGGAATAGATATCACTTTACTCAATATAACAAACCACTTAACGATAAGATACAAGAGGAAATCTAATAACAGGAGTTACATTATAAACACATACATTCATAGCAGATGAGATGTTTTTTTTTTCATTACTTTCTCCACAATTTGTTAAGCTTTCACTGTATTACAACTCTAAAAAGTGAATAAAAAGTGGAATTTTATAAATACATAATTTCAATTTTGAAATTTTCAACTTTAAATAATTGACAGGAATCTTTTAAACATGACAAATGATCATCGTAGGCAAAGTAATCGACAATCGTTTTATATTTCTATACATATCAATCAATCAATCTAATCCTATAGCTTAAAAACTGTTTGTAAATAAATGCTCGCCCACTTTACAAGTCAAACGGTAATCTTCGTACATAAATATAGGATATTTATGTAAATACCGGTATAGATCGTCTATAAAATCTATTTTATGGGGAATAGGATCACGCCTTTCAAAACATTACTGCAAAATTAACGTTTTCGTCACTTACATTATCTTCCACTAGATATCTTTTCGTGTAAGTATCGCAAACTTCTTTAAATATGGACTTCATGTTTGTCTTTGCTGTTCGATCGCTACATGCAGAAATCGAAGTGTGACGCAACGACCGGTAAATACAATTGTACAAGAGGCGCGAGCGCAGATGGGAAGTAAGCGATAGGGGCGACACACCACAATTTAGTAACAGATATTATAAAAAAATTTTTGAAATTAAATTTTTAAAAATTATTTTATGTCGTGAAATTTATATACAGAACGATAAATTTTTTTTCGTGTAAAGAATTGAATGAAATCATTTGTAATATACTTGATGAAAATGACTATCGTTTTTGATGTTGATGTATCTTATGTTGAATGTTACGTCGGGGGTGTTAACTGTATTTATGACCGGAACAGAACGGATGCATATGTCCACTGGATCTTCTGTGCAAACTTTTGCGTAATACCATTCGTTCCGTTTCATTTTTATCGGATCGGCAATAACCATTCTGTGATTATAAATTTGTTTGGTTGAATTGAAGCTCTCGTTGACGTTTCCCAAACATTTTATAGGGCGGCAAACATCCTTTCCTTGTGCCATGTATAATTCTGCATTGCAAACGCTGTTGTATCTAACGCAGAAACTAAAACCGAATAAGATCGCATCGGCATCGAACGATATCATGCACTCGATACTAAATATTTCATTGATATCCAGAGAGCTAATTCTGTCGCTATCACCCAAGCAATTATGATGCAACTCTATAATATTGTAAGACGAAATGGGTGAAGACATATCATCTGCTCTAATAATTTTCTTAATTGCCTCTGGCGTTGTTACTGAGAGACGTTTTCTGGGGTTCTTTTCGTGGTTGCACCAAGTAGGTAATGATACAGCTTCGGATCCAGAAATAGTCATTCCGATTTTCATAATTTCTTCACTATTCAATACACCACTCGTCGCGGGACTTTTAAAAATGTCTTCGTGCTTCATACTAAGAAATCTAATGCATGGAAGTAAAGGATTCATTAAAGTTCTCATAGTTTCGGGAGATGAATTGTTTTGACTTCTAATTATGTTTGTCTTCGCCCATTTCAAACCAACTTCGAACAAATAAAGTTCGTTGGGTATATTCAATGCAGTTTGCATCATGATACTTTTGACCACATCTATCGGAGATGATAAGAAAGTTTCAGATTCAAACACTTCTTGGCTGTACTTAGAAATTATATCTTCACAAATCTGCACGAAATCCTTATCGTTAAGAGCAATAGCTAAGTCTAAAGCCAAGCACACGTTGTTCTGGCAAAGTTGTTTTTCTATATTGGTCTTGCATAATGTCACTAATTGGACAACGTTATACTTAGCAGCTAAACGACAAGTTTGAATAGCTTCGTCGAAGGTGTTCACTACTAGTTTCTCGGTGTAAATATATCTAAAACAGTCAAGGCAAAAGTGTTAGATGTCATATACATGAAAACAATTCAAGTTATTATAGTTTGTCAATGGAAAGAATCAAGAAATAGCGAACTTCCCTGTATTCCAATACCAGAACGTGAAGATTCCAAAATACTGTTTATAATGGCGGTAAGATATTTAACAAATGAGGAAGAAACCGGAAGTCACTTGCCACAACTAAGCGATCAATGGCTGATTCTCATTGGTTAATATCCAAGTTGATTCTTTCCATAGACAGACTATAACATTATTAAAATAAAAAGCTAACTTGAGCATTATTTCGAAAATATCCGGTTTAATGTCAGGCAATGGGATTTCTGTTGCAGGGCAAGAAGATTCATAAAACATTTTCTCAAAAACGTCGCTTCTGCTTGCAATTAAGAACTTATGAGCAGTGATTATCTTCTGATTCGGCTCTTGGCCTACTCTGAAAGTAACATCGGCCAACTTCTTAGTCTGCATTACGTGTTGCATTAAATCCGAGATATTATGTATTTGCGATTGCCAAGAAGACATTTTTCTAAATTAAACAATACACATTTATTACATTTGAAAGTAATTATTTATTATAAAGTAATAAAAAAATTGATATATAGTAAAAACAATTACCCAATTTTTTGTAAAAATTTCACTTATATTAATAAAAACTTATTGAAATATTAATTGTTAATAATGCATTATTAATCATAAAAATGTTTTAAAATTATTATTTAATAATTAAACATAACACAACTACTAAACTTGATTTTCAAAATGCGTTGCTAGTTACGTTCAAAATGTTTACCTATGTATTATAAATGGATTAATAAATAAGTTAATTCATTGTTTGCAAATCCCATTTAAACATACAGTATATAAAATAAAATATTTTAAAATTACATTGCCAAATTATATCATCATCCCATAATTGTGAAAGAGCCGGGCTTAAATCCGGTTAGATAGATGAAAGTTAAGACCAGATATGGAAAGCTTAGGGATAGAAGGCCCCGATTAACTGTATACGAATTTCAGGTCTAGGAAGTCATATGATCTTAATTCAAAACTTTTTCCCAGAATGAAATAATTAACTAAATGACTGGCACGACTTTGTTGTTATCAGGAAAAGTGTAATGTACAGGGGAAAGAAACTACTAATTTGAAATAGAGAGCGTATATTTTAAATTAAATAAATTAAGAATAGGATTAAAAATTGCAGCCCGGTATTGTGACGATGTTGTAATAAATAATTGCTCGTTTAATTCTAATCAATGTTTTTGATTAGAATTAAATGTCTGTAAACTCTGTAAACAAGAAGATAAATAGAAAAAATGAAGAATGAAAAACATCTATCGATGTTTGAGAATACGAAGATTACACCGAAAACTGAAAAAAATATAGTTTTTGACAATTGTATGACAACTTGAGTATAATGCAATTCGAATTCACTGGATAAATTAGTAAATTTTTAAAACGTGGAAGCTCATTTGAATCAACAATCTACGAGTGATTTTCAACCGGTGTGCCGCGAAATTTTTTGAAACTTATTAAATAAATTATTTTCGATAAAACCCAAAGAATAGTAAGAGTAAATGTCAAAATTATAACATCCGTAAATTAATTATACAAGTTTTTCATTGTTATAATAAATAAACGTATACATAATGTAGTAAAAAATATATATTCGTAAGCAAAATTATGTGTGCATAACACCGTGTTATTTCATTTAAAATTAAATTTTCTTTAAATCAAAAATGTATCTATAATTGTCCATATTTAGTTCAAATTATTTTAACTTGCAAATAGCGAGACATTGGGCGGGTTTATAAAGGCAATTATCATGCCACTTTTAAATGCAAATAAGACTTAATGTTAATTGCTTTTCTTATGTAAATTATAAGTTCAAATGTGCCGTGAAGTAAAAAAAGGTGAAAAACACTGATCCATATTAATAAGCAGTATTGTGTGATGCATAGATGCGACAACGAAACATCGACATTTTTTGCTCTAGATGCACCCAGAGTCGGTAGAAATAAATCGATATTTGATATGACCTTGTTGCCAGTTAGGCGTATTTCGTATAGAACTAGGTTTTAGAGAACGGCTGAGGGCTATTTTTAAAGACGTGCCTTCGAAGTAAAGATGCACCCAATTTGTCACAAAATTCCCATGGGAATAGAACGTGAATAGAATTCACAGAAACGCAAATATTTGAGTGTAGTATAGTTCTTCCAATATAACTTGGCACTTGTCTAAACTGACGAAATCACTTTTCAAAAAACTAAACACTTGATATTCTAGCGTGTCTGTTTACATTAAAATTTCGTAGCTCAATTTTCACTCAATTCCCAATTTCTGATCTAGTTGAAACTTGCAAACATATGCATATATGTAGTCCCGATTTAATCATATTTTTAATTTATATAATTTAAAATACTGTATATCCTTTCTACCTTAAATTAGTAGTGTCCTGCCCCTGTACATCATACTTTTCCTTTAGCAATAGAGTTGTGCCAATCATCTATTAACTGCTTTTAGGAAAAAATATTTGAATTAAAATAACGTAACTTCTGGTGTGCATCGGAAATTCATATATAGTTAATCAGGGCCTCCTGTCCCTAAGGATTCCTTAACTCGCTTGTATTTCATCCATCTAATTCCACTCTCGAGATTGAAGAAAGACAAACGGACAGACGGACGACAGTGGGAATTTATAGATCTACAATTTTTTCATATTGTAGCTGAATACGTTCCCTCTAGTAGCTGAATGGACAAAACTACCAAACACTGGTAGTTAGTTAGTCGTGGGTTCGGGCATGGCCAACGGACTGGCCACGTGGAGTTTTCTGGATTTTCTTCATGTTAGTAACACCAAAATAGGGTCAGCTTTACATAAAAGTCTTCCCGGGATGCATCCTCCTTGACATTTACGAAAACATACATAACTATCAGGAAACCTGGACACCCGCCCCTTCCCTGATTTCATCTCCCCTTATTAATTCATGAAGCCATTACCCCAAAGTTCCTACATTAATACTGCTTAAAGATGTTCTAACGTTCAGCCAAATTAATATACTGTACTGTACGTGCAACGATTTTAAGGCGCAAAGTAGAGCTCGAAATATTTTTCTGTGCCGATGTTTATTTTTCCAATTTATTATCACAGTGACATTGTTTTATTCAAAATTTCTTGTAGTTGTAGTCTGTAATGTGTACTTTATTGACATGTTGAGTCTTACTGCCAAATCTGGCTACAGTATTTCGAAAGTTTCATTTATTTACAGGTTAGATGTTTATGCTGAGCTTTACTTTTTCAACCTGGTTTCACCAACTGTTTTGGGATTACATGAAAGCAATTATTCTCGCATTTTTACAATATTTATTTATTTAATCAAGTCATATAAAATCTTTCGGGCGTTAAGGTTAGCATCTTCGATCACATTCGGGGCCGTCACAACCCATCCAAAACGGATCACATTTCAAATATTAAACACTAGAAATTTCCTCGTTAAACACGATGGAATACCTCTTATAAGAAAGTAGAGATTAAAGAATTGAGAAGAGTAGAGATTTCATGAAATTCAAGAAGAGTTGCTAATATTTTTACAAATTAATAAGTTTATACTATATGCTGTAACATAAAGAACAACAAAACAAAATGCTTTTATATTACTAAATAAAATTTGAATAAATAAATAAATAAATTACCTACACTAATAAAGATTAATATCTATGACTAGAAGATTTGATGGGTGTACAGGGCGCAGCTGAATTTACTTCTGAGGAATTTTTTCGACTCTGGTAGTAAAAAATTTTGTAAGTCATATTGTTTCCTTTCTGCGCCCTTCTCCAAAAATTACTGAATTCGTTATTGTCTGAAACTATCATAATATACACTACTTAGCTTATTATGTAGGCTTACAAGATTCAGTTATTCAAATCGATTTTCAATTGTTATTTTCAAGGATTGGACTATTACTGTGATTTAATGTTCATATAATACCTGAGAAGATATTAATGATTTAGTTATGTGCATATACATTTACCAGGGGTGTGGAGTCGCGTAAAAATCTACCGACTCCAACTCCGATTCCGACCAGGGGCGGACTTGTTACCGAAAGAAACCCGGAAATTCTGATGTCATCACGTGACCTCAGAATAAAATATTCAATAAATAGAGTTCTAATAAAGATAGATCGTAGAAACTTTTTATTCCAAAGCTAAAAGACTTCTCTAAGTAATATATAAATATGTATTCGATCATTTTTACTTTTCCGGCTGTTATATATAACAGAGGAAAAGTGTAGCGCTCGGTCAAAATGACCCCTCCCAAATTTTTACATTTTTGGATTCGGGACACCTTGAAATTTCGAAATATGCAAAAGATTCGAGGTTTTTTCTATATGTGTGGATGTTAGACTGTGTGTGGGGGGCATGATTTTGTTCACCCTGTTTGAAGCCTAATAATTTCTGTGGTCAGAGTGGTCAGAATCAGAGTCAGATGGTTTAATACGAGTTAGTTATTTAAGTCAAAGTAGTTGAACTAAATCTTGTCTCCATATACATTCTAACATCTTAGGCGAGAACATCTTAACTGGTTTTACCGTACTATTATAAAATGACAAACAAGCTTACTTTGAGGGTAGAGACGAGTTTTATTAATTTTTTTTTAAATTTTGAACGCTAATAACGAGTAAAATATTCATTAAGAGA